TTTCCCTAAATTTTCTTCCTATTGACAGCAGGTAGTAACAGCACAGCTCCATGTATATAAAGAACTGGGACTGATGTGGATATCTAACAGATGGGCTACACCTAAGTCTTTATACTACTGCTATTGCTGATGCAATTAAATAACTACTAGGATAATTAAAAAATGACAGTTAAAGTTATTGTAGAAAATAAACGCTAGTAAGATCCCCATCATCACTACCACCCACCTTTGATATGCTTTTTAAGTCCAGGCCCTGTGTTCTTTCCGCCTTATTAACCTGACATACTCCTTTAAACTGCTTCTCCTCTGTGCCTCAAACACACTGACCTTTAAGTTCTGATATCTTTTACATTTCACTTAGAAGAACTTTTATAAACTAACACTTTCCTAGTATTTACAGTAGAGAACATTATAGCCTGGCCCTTAGCGCTAGAATTTCTTCCACTGCTATCCTCGTTCTGTTTTTGTTAAACAAGTGGATTTCTCAAAAAGCTAGCCAGAGTGGTAAGAAGAAAGCAAACAACTGCTGTGAGCAGAGGTGTTGAATGATGACAGCATTACTACAGAAAGTCTGAGAGACGAGACTAAGACAGTGCCAAATACAGATGATTGTTGGGGGGTGGGTTTGTTTTTGAAAACAAGACTAGCCTACCCTTCAAAAGTGGGACAACTCCAGGAAACAAGACTCCAAACTACATTTATACAACCGGGATATATTCTTACAACTTTCACTGAAGCATAAGAACAAGACAGCTTCACACTAATTCCTTGTATAGAAATAAGGTGTCAATATGAAGGAGTTAATCGTCAAGTGCTGTTCTATGACTAGAAATAAAGTGTATAAACAAATCAGATTGAAGTATCTGAACTGTGTAACTACTGACTTATATTATTAGTTTTTAAGTCATTCCCTTTGGACACAAATATGACTACACATTTTGAAGATACCAATGTACTTCTGTTAAGAGGAAGGTGTTCTTTAAAAAAATAAATAAAATCAACTTTGTGGCTTACTGTAGCTTACATCCCAGTACTAAAAAAGTTATATGTACTTACCATCATCTAGTGTGATGTCTTGTAGTCCTATCGTTTGAAAATTCAATTCTCGATCTTCAGGTTCTGGCTTAATGTTAATAGCTGCCCCATCTGGTGAAAATGGAGATGAATCGCATACGCTATGGTGTACTAGGGATGAAGCTGTGTTACGACCTCCCAATGCTGGACTATGTGCTTGAGGGGAGTGCTGTCCCGAGTGACTTACAGCGGCTGGTGGGGGAGATGAGGCAGGTCCTGAGCTAGGAGATTGGTAAGGCATAGGTTGTAGCTGGGGTGAAGATGGTCCAGACAGTGGTGAATGGACCAAAGGATGGGAAGCTGTTGGGGATGGGGATGAAGCAGATGCTGGGTTTGAAGAATGGTATGGGACTTGCTGCAGCTGGGGAGAAGACTGCCCAAGGGATCGACTCATTGCAGAAGAGATGGAGCCCTGTCCAGAGCTTGGGCAGTGGTATCCGATGGATGGTAGGCGAGAAGATGACTGTCCTGAATGAGCTGGGTGTGCTAGCGGGTGCCCTGCTGTACTCGATGGTGACACAGAACCTGGATTTGAAGGATGGAACTGCATCGGTGGGAGAGCTTGGCAGCTAAGATTTATCAAATGAGGTACAGCTGCATCTTGCTGAAATGAAATAGCATCAAATCCTTGGCTGGAGGCAGAGTTCATAGGAAGACCAGACTGTCCATTGTATACATCATTAGACTGCATAGACTGGTAGGAAGGCCTCACAGGAGGTGTTGATGTTACCTGAAAAGACTGAACCACGGCAGGAGGCAAAACATGACACTCTTCACTTGGGCTAAGGTTTCTACCTTGCATATGTGACAGGTGGGATACTGCTGAGGTCACCATTGCTGTGTAAGGTGGTTGAACTGGACACACGAGGCTCCTGGGTGATGTAGACAGTAAACCATCATGTGGATGCCCTTGGTCTGGTGAAGGTAGTTGAGTTCGGATAGAATGTAGGCCCTGAACATTGCCTGTGTGAGGCAGGGTCAAAGATGGAACAGCAGACAAATCTACCTCATCTCTGTGCTCTTGCTTCATTATAACTAGAAAAAAGAAAATACTGTATTACAATTCCAACTTATCTGGATCCTGTGATAAATACACACAAATTGCTGTTTAGCAGCCACAACAGTATTTGTTAACATACTTGCTCTAACTTCCCTTCTCCTTTCGCTCTGCCTTCATTTTCTTCGACTTTAAAAGCCAGAAGAATCTTCCTAGCATTTCTCCAGAGACAGTTATTAGCCCTTCTAAACTACCCTCCTAATGCACTCTGTTTTTAAAAGACATTAGCAACCCAGCCAGGGAAAGTCCAGTACACCTCTAAAGGATAAAGCTTATTAAAGGTAAGGAAGTACTCATTGCTGCTGGGCTCCATTGAAAACAGAGTCAGCCAACAGTTCAGCACCCCACGCTAGCAGAAGGTGAATGAAATTCTTAGTAGACTTTATAACTTTCATTGCCCTTGATCAAGATGACACCCAAACTTCAGCAAAACAGTTCTGCTACTTTGAGGAGTGTAGTTTTAATTACAGCAGCTCTTTGTTTCCATCATTTTAGTGATGTTAACAACCGTTCTTGCAATGTGAAGAACTATGAATCGGCACATTCGGCAGTTATGGAAATTTTAGGCACAGCTAATCTTATAAAAAGGTGCCAATTTTAAGCATAAATATTAGAAAAATACTAACATTTAAAACTAAATGCTAACATCTTTATTACTTTGACATTATTACGATATAGATGTTATACGCTATAAATAAAATGGATGTTAAAGCTTTGTTTAATACTGCTGCAGTTACGATTAAACTTGCTTCTTATTTAAGCAGCATGTTTCTTTACTACATTCCACCATTTAAATAATTTTAAAATGTTTCTCATACAAAGTATCAAGTTTAAAATGTATCCTTTAATCATCTTAGGAGCTGATATTCTTAAGAACTGCTAAAAAGCTCACAGAAATCTGACAAAGTGAATTCACGCTTAGTTTACAACAAATAACTAGATACTTCTGTGCATAATTTAAGCAATATTATACAGTATGTTATTTTAGAGTACAATAAGCAAGCAAAACATTTTAAGTAGTGCAAAGTAATGGAAGTTGTTCTTGTCAGTATACAAACTAGTTTTAGGAGGTATGTATTAACGTTCATATCTGGCTTTAAACGTCAAGTTCTCCGAATGGTACTAAAGGGTCTAGCTCCCTCAGTAATACTTCATGAAGTGCGACTACTCTAACTGGATATGCGTTTCTTAATAGGAAGTAGGTGGCAGACAAAGTAGCGGGCGCTGGATATCTAGTAGTATCTGTTTCTTCATACCAAATAGAAGGAAATCAAAACATTTAAATTAAAAACACGTACAGTATGCCTTTCTGGCTAAATTCCAAGATATGCTCTCTCAACGTGCTGCAACGTATTCAGAGAAAAACACTTTTTTTTTTTTTTTGTCTTGCTCCTTTCGTGCGCGGGTTGGGGGGGGGGGGGGGGGGGGCAGGTATTTGGGAGAGGGGAATCCATAATACCCATTCTTCTATGGCCTCACTGTCCTCCATATTATCACTACAGTTGTTTAGAGGAACAACCTCTGAGATTCATCATCATTCTCAACTGAATGTAAATTATTTTGCAAAACATGTAACCAAAGATTACTTGGATATATTCATAACCTGCATCTTATTACTCTAAATTTCAGTTTTATCTAGAGAAGTTCAAATCAGTGATTTACAGATTATTCAAAGCTAGTCTTATCTAGCTGTCAAACGTACAAGACTATCTGAATTACTTTCAAATGTCTACTTTAGAAAACAAAATAAAATGCAGGAATTTGATATTAATTTAATACCTGGTGTATAAGTAAAACGTTGAGACTGGCTTTTTTTCCTCTTGCCATTGCAGAGATAAAACTGCACCTGAACTGCAGCTGTAATAGTTTTGTTATGGTATGGAGGAACTTCAAGAACGATGTTTGCCTATATGAAGGTTGAAACAAAAAAGCTTTACATATTAAATGTAAATAAAACCATTATTAATTACAGAAAAACTGAAACACTTCCTGCAAGACTACAGCAAACTGTTATTTTGAAATGGATAAGCTTCAAGTTTATGCATATATTACATAGTAGAATAGTACTACAGCAAACATCTATTTGGAGACTTTTTTTTAAATACAAGTTTTTCTAAGGGTAATGCTATTAATTGAATAGATGCATCTAAAAGAACTGTTTATCTCCCACAGCATACATAAACTCTAGGAGTCAAAGAATTGTATTTCACATCATTAATCTTGTAAGAACAATTCTAATGCATTGGAAATTATTTCTCATCTTAGCAAAATCATCTTCAGTTTTCTTTTTTTCAATTTTTCAAACAAGCATACTATTTCCAGTTCCTTCACAGTATCATTTTAATGGCTGCTTTATGGAATTAAGTCAATTTAGAAGTCTCCAGTTGTCTGTCTGTGTTTGCCAATGATCTGCTTTACTAAATGAAGTCTAAGTTTTAGAACAACAAAAATGACTACTTTCTCACTGTAAAATATAAAGCTTTCTAAAGAAAGAAAAATTAAGTTTCTCACCCCTTGACACTTTTCCCTAATTATTTTCCCTTCTACCTCCCACTGAGGTCGTCCATCTGTTGAGAGAAATTTACAAATAATTCAAGCAAAAAGCATCTTCTAAAAATATTTAAATATCTAAAACCGCATTTATTTTCCGTCATAAAGAGGTAGTTCAGGGAAAGGGATACTACTGAGAAAGAGTTATGCTATAAACAGATTCTGAAGTATAAGGATGCTCTAGGAGTTTCAGTACTACAGACATTGTCCAGAAGTTGACTGTTTTGCAGGATTCTGCATTGTAACAGAGCCTACCAATTACATACAGTTAGGTTCCGTTCCAAAGGAGACACTATGTACTACAAAATATTTGAGTGGATTTTTTTCCTTTTTGCTAATACATTTTTAAAAGGAAGTTAAATGACTACTACTACTTGTTTAGTGAAAAAAACATGCTGAAGATTTACAAGGTAAGTCATCATGTGAGAGAGAACACATACCATATCTTCACGTACGTAACTATACGTTATACACTTATAACACTTATATACTAACAACACTCTCCCCCTTAAATCCTGAACCAAAAGACTCCGTAGTTCAACTGCAGTGCAAGCTGTCTATGTTGTGAGGAAAACAATTTTACTATGGTGAATCTCTCCCTGCTCTGGCCTAGCACGACCTGTTATCCTTAATCCAACGCTTCGTTCTCTCATGGCTATTGGGTTTTGCACAAGTTACCAGGGAACATACTGTGTAGCAGCAATTCTTTAAAAGGAGTTCAAGTTACGTGCATCAAAATATATTACATAAAAACAAGTAAGCATTTGTTAGGAGGGAATAACGTTCAAGTACACCTGTTCTACTCGAACTACACCACGTACAGCACATTTCATTGTAAGGTGGGTAAGGCTTGTCAACATGCATACAGTCAAGTTGCTTCTATCATGTAATAGCACCTATAATGATGCTATTTATATCAATTCACTTATTCATATATGAAGAGAAGAGCTTCAGTTTGTCATGTAATCCTCTCCAGATCTGTTTTTTTTTTTTGGGGGGGGGGGGGGGGGGGGAGGGTTGTTTGTTTTTAAAGGCATCCTGCATTAAGGTCTGTCCAATCTATGAAGCTTTTTGTTAAACATTTTAAAATCTGTTTAGTTTCATTAAAAAAAAAAAAGTTACTCAGTTCTCTTCACATGCAGTAAATGTTTTGGAAAAAAAATGCTGCAAAGAAGGTTCTTCAGAACTATTTTCATAGTTGCTACTGTTTTTCATATATAGGTTTGACTTCCCATTACTTAGATACAGATGTTACTTTTCAAACATAAGATTTTCAATCTTAAGACATATAGTTGGTTTATGCTGAAATATCAGCTAATTCAAGCTAATTCAAAGTTTTCAAATTGAATTTAAATTGAAAATAGTTAAGGTAGAAATAAATGTTCAGTATTAATCAAGATGCTTATCCAAAAGTGCTAGAGAACCAGGAAGGAGTGCTGAATAACTGAACATCTTTGAATAACACATAAAGATACATGTGTTTTGCAACATAAACACACAATGACAAAAAATGTGCAACACACAATGACAAAAAATGTGCAAAACACTTCATTATATCCAGTTATATACATGAGAAATATTTGTTGGCTATTAACTTCTCTAGGGTATGCAGTTGCATTATTATGCAGAAATAAGTTGTTATGCAAATGCCGTTACAAACACTCCGCTGTTTGTAGCTCATCTCCTTAATCAGCCCTTTCCCCTCCCCAGTATCCTTTTGAGGGGGGAACACTACCAAGTAAATTTTAAATTGATGAGGCAAAGGTTATTACTAGCTGCTGCTGTAGTAGACCCCCCTTCTCTGCCCATCCCACCTTCTGTTTCAATGGCAGCAAACAGCTAGATCAGCTCCAGGGTGCGTGGGAGCCTCACTCTCACTCCCTGCCCCTTCCTTGCCCCAACTCTGGTTCTTGTGGGAGCCTGTTCAACCTATGAAGTAAAAAAACTAACAAAACAAAACAAGAAAACCCTATCCCTTAGCTACAAGTTGTGGGCAGACAGCAAGGGGGAAAATGAGATGATATTTCTTCAGATTTGGACCCTTTCCCTTGACATTCCACCCTCTGCTTCTTCCCCAAGCCTAGGTCTGCTCTTTCCTCAGGACTTACCAAGCTATATCCTAAAAACTGTATTACTTATAATTTTCAAAAGAAATTTTTAGCTAGGAAAGAGTAGCACGTAACAGACAACCTATTGTAACAGAGCATTAACAATTGTGTTGTGGAACAGTTTATGGGTAAACTACTAAAAATACATTCACAATCTTCCTTTGCTACCTATTCCAGTTTTAGCCCATCCATTAGAACTTTTCGTAACGTGAAGTCTAAATTTATGGCCAGGCAGATCCATAACTACCTGGTCACTACTTTGCACCTGAAGAACAAACAAGTTTAGTATTTTAAACAAAAAAAATTCTACAGGGACAAACGCAAGCTGCGTTCTCCCCTGGAGTCCACTGAATAATAAATTCATTCACAAACATTTCAAAAATGACAGAAGGGAGCAGGAACGCAGGTTAGGAAAAAAAAACAAAAAAAAGAAAACCCAAAACCTTCAAACTGCACTTACATTTAAAGAAAGATGTTTCAGAAATATTCGGCCAAAATCTGCAATTTCCTTGCTTACTTGGAGATTCTACTTCCTATATGTTAGGATGAAAATTTCATCTACTACCCTCTCAAAAAGTAATGTTTTTCACTTCACGAGATCAGTAGGAAGCAGTTAGATATTTCTGAAAATATGAATGCATGAAGGAAAATGTCTTCTGTATATGTTAAGTGAAATGCATGTCTGCTATATATATATCTATATATATATATATATTTGTTAAGTTTACTGATATAAAAGTGTGAGTCAGCTGCAATTCTCACCTATGACTGAATGTCATCTAGAATATTCAAGCTAGATTCTTGAAAATGAGAATGAATACAACTGACTACAACATTTCTGACTTCTTAGTTCTTAAATACATGATAGGCTCCTAAGGCACATGTTTAATACACACACAAAAGGTCCCTTTTATGCATACCGCTGCTTATTGCCAGCACTTCATCTACATACAAACTTGCCTTTTTACATATGCAAATTTAGCATAGATTGAAACTTTAAAAAAAAATAAGTCTTTATAGAACAGTATCTGCTACAGAAAATATTATGCCAATATCCTGAAAAAAACCTAATCAGTAAGACTTTCTAACTACTATTTATTTCATTAGCTTAGGAATAAGTCATTTTTTTTGGTGATGATTAGGCCATACGTAACATGACATAAATGACAATAGTACATTTCCATTAGTTTACATGTTAATTTTTAAAACTAGTTTTTTTTTTTTTTTTTTTTTAGTAAGAAGGAGAAAATACATAGTATGATCGGTCAATAGCATTTTTTTTTAAATATACACAATTTAAAGTTTTCCACAAGATACTGGTTAAACTGTAACTGTCTTTGTAATTCAGGAGTACTATTCTCATTAATAACAACCAACCAGTACACAGATCAGTGCTCAAACTGAATTTTCAGATCACTACTTGTGATATTTTTATTTTTTTAAACATCCTCAAGCTCCTGTAAGTTTTTTTTTTTTTTTTAAAGAAAAAAGTAAAGTATTTACCTTGTCCTTTTTCAAAGAATATAATTTTTGATTCTGGAAGAAAATTAGATCCTGTCACCACCATTTCGTGGCCTCCATTTACTGAGCAACTGTTGATGCTGTACTTCTCAATCTGAGGAAGTTCTTGAGCAGATCGCTGAGCTTTAAGACAAAAGTTTGAGCGAAAAATAATTATTCACAACTTTAACCTATAGTGACATTTCTTTTACGATTTTATCTTAAAGAATCAGGTGTAAAACTAAGCAACCCATCTATTTACAGATATAAACCATACTTGTATATTAGTTATCTTTATTTTTAGAGTTACATTGAAAGTATTGAATTTCAGGGAAAAAAAAATCTTGATTTAAAAGTCATTGTATTATTTCAAAGGCAAAACTTAATTATTTAGGACTACTTAAGATCACGTTTTGATTCTTTACTGCCAGCATTTAATAAGTGAATGCTCTAGAAGTTCAGCTGCTCATTAAATAATACTGTATATAGGCAAGTAATGGTATAGAATCCTGTAAATGAAATAGTATTTAGTCTTCCTAAAATGAATATTTATTTTCACTAAGATATGTCAGCTACCTCTCCGTATACAGAAAAATACAGAAGTGTTAGGTATTAGGTTTATTAGTATTAAGTTTACAGTCTATAACATTACACGGTTCCTCCAAACACACAGGTTGTCACTTGGCAAATATCATCTTTAATTTTTTGCTAATTTAACTCTTGGCTTTTTACATACAGAAATACTTTTAGTGAGACATAGAGAAAACGTTAAAATACTGCAAGTATAGATTAATTATGTATAGCTAAAGCAATCTTACAGCATTCAACAGGTATGGAAGCAGTCTGAAGAGATAAGACTTTTCCACTAGGCTGTGGGATGTGCACACGAAACACAAGTCGCACTCTGGTATTCTTTCTTCCAATATCTGTCTCTCCTTTACGGAGCTCTATATCCGAATTGCGAAGTTTCAGAATACCTGCACAATCGATACTGGAGATAGGTGAGGAAGGATGGATTAGAAGAGAGATGGAAAAATATGAGTTAAATTATTGCCAAAAGGATATTATATAAGCCTTTCCTTTGTTAAAGGATGAAGAGCTTTCTGTTCCCCCCCCCCCCCCATATAGTGCTATTTTAAATGACAGAGGCCAGAAGATTTGTTAGCATCAAAAATGGCAGCAAGTTTTCTGCTGAAACTATTTGTCTTGTGAACTTTCAAACGTTAAACATTTGAAATAAGTTAGTTAATGTTGTAAATGTAATGTACAAGGAGCAAGAGACCTATATTCCATTCTGCTTAGGAAGGACTACCGAATGAAAAAAACTAAAACCGTCAAACCCTGCCTGTCGTTCTGGTATGCCAGAACCACGTGTTTATGGAGCATTTGTATGATTCATGCATACTTTAATGAATGAGCACACGTAAGCTTCTGAGGAGCGTTACCCTGCATATCACTGTGAGTTCATACGTTCAATGGAACTAGCATGAAGTCCGTAACTTTTAGGAACATCTAAACTGGCTTCATTAGAAGACTGCATTAGAGATAAGTAAGCTCAGTCAACTTCATTGTTATGCTTTACTTGGTCTACTAATCCTCCAAGTAGAACAGAGCAGTTTGATTGTTTCTGCAGGGTCCATTAAATTATTTTTTAGCATATTCTATCTGGCAAGACCTGAAAAGTCAGAGTAATCCAACTGCTAAAAATAAAAAAATGGAAACAAAACAAGGAAAAGGCCTCCTGTCAGGCTACAAGACGTTAAGATGACCACATTCAATTAAGAATTAAGCAACAAGCAATTAAACTACATTACTATATTTCTATACATACAAACTATATGTCATTGTAAAAATTAACAAAACTTTACCCTCAGCCAGCCAGTAATAACCTACATGCAGTTCCACAACTGTGGTGTCATATGCTTGTGCAGACAGTATAGAAAACTAACTCCAGAAGCACTCATCCATCTCTCCTTCAATCATGCGAGCTCCCCTGTCTCTCTACCCAAGCGCTCCTTTGCTTCTGACTGCCTGGGGACGTACCCTGGAATACTGGCACATTTAAAGGGCTGTGTCGAACTCGATCATGAGTTACACTTGTGGAAAATATGAAAGAAAAGTCTTAAAAAATATCATCTTTGTACAACTGGGAAAAAGAAAGACATAGGGCAACTAAATAGCTAACTTAAACCTTATGTTGCAATGTACCTGGCTGACATATTATTTTCAGGAAGAAGCGGAATTTCCAAAACTTTCGTGCTGGCAATTATTATCTCTTGACTAGCTGTAGCAACTGTTTTTCCAGTGATTCGGTGCACCTGGTAGAACGCGTGAGGTCTTAAGTAGCGATCATCTGCTGTTCCGATGAACATTTGTAGGTTTACTGGCTTTTCACTGTAGCCTAGGAGCTGATGAAAAAATAGATAAAACATTAAAATATTAGCTGATTTTTACTGCATTTATGTGGGCATAATATAAATACACAATTAGTGCAAACACTGAAGGGTGAAAGAGTAATATTTAATTACATCAGACTTCTTCAATTTCTTGTTTTCTTCAATGCTGAAGAAAACCAAGCACAGACATCTATCCTCCAAGACAGATTATCAGCAACTGCATTTATCAGAACAAATGAATGTCAATGCATCTTTATTCCTTTTGAATTTTGTGCAGAGAAAAGAATCATTCTATCCACAGAATTTCTAGGTCAAGGCTATGCTGTGCTTTAGCTGCATTTCTTATTTTGTTTTGATTCAAAGCAGAGTTACCAATTTTAGTAAGAAGTACCTAGTTTTCAGAAATATTTTAAAGTTTAGCTTTGCTATTATGGAATGCATAAGTGAGCTTGTCAAACTTGAGGGGTGTTATGAATGCAAAAGTATTTTGCTAGGACAAACAGAATTTAATCTAAATCTAGAAAACGAAGTATGTTTTTTTTCTGGCAAAGAAAACATTTTAAGAAACAAAATTTGGTAACTGTGAAGTTAACGCACAGGTTTTTCCTTTACTCGAGTATATGACTAACCAATCCAATATATTCAGTTTGTCTCAAAACCACCCAAAACCCTGTTGTTATGCTCGAGCTAACACTGAGTAATTCTAGGCATGAAACAAATCAACACATTGGAAAAAGATAAGTTTAAATAAGCTCTAAAAGAATGGGCAAGTTTTACTATAGTATACTGGTAACATAATTATCCAGACGATTTAAAGAAACAAATTTAACCAAGAGTAACATACATGTTTCCTTTAGCCACTGCAATTTTAAATCTGAGGCCTTCCTGACCTTTATAGATTGATACACATCGCAAGATATATACTTTCTAAAAAACTATGCAGAAAATCTACATGTCGTCTGCTTCAGCATAAGTTTATGTTAAAACCGTAGGATGGGCCAGAAAGTCATTCTCCAAACATGTTTTTGTCATCTTGTCTTTAATATTTCTGTCTTGAGAGAGTTATTTGGTCAGACAGCAATATTATTCAAGCTCTTCACAGAGCACTTAAAAAACAAACACACACACACACACACCACGTCAAGTTTAATGAAGTTACAAGAACAACAAAATTGGTTGAAAAGTCAATAGTCAGCTGTACAAAAACTCCAAAGCACATCCACACACAGAAAGCGGAAGCATTACTCTAGATTTCTGCTATCTTGATGCATGACTATTGTCGAGAAGTTTTATATTACACCAAAAGAACACACCTCTTTCCTATTTTCAAGTTATAGCCCCAAAAGCACCTATGAGTCTCATCAGTTTCATTAGAACTTTTTTAACCAAGAACAAAACTTTGGTTCCTGCCTAAAGTCTGGAACTTTAAAGAGCCAGGGAGTTCCCTAAGCCTTGAATATTAGTGCTACAATAATGTTGTCCCAAAGTTTTTGATGCAGATACAATACTCGTGAACTAACGCATCTAGCTTACAACAGCGTGGTCATATTTCCTTTCCATTAATTTTAGTTTAAGTATTATTTCTATTTACCCAATGCTGTTAACGTGACTGAGAAGCAGAAGAGCAAAATCCAAATCACCCACGACAACAAAAATTGAACTTGCTTCCCTCACTCCTCCACATCCAACACACACACAACCTAAAACTATTCCTGAAAGAGATGTGCAGATAAAACCTCCAAAGGACCTACAAGTGCACACATACAACTGTTACTGAGCAACAACATACATATCTTCAACAGTTGAGGCAAAAGCATGCTACCTCTAATATATTATTTATATTGCAATTACAGCATTGGAATTCACTCTGAGATAAAAATCCCTATTCTTCTACTTTCTTCTTAGAGTAGGAAGCTCCTCAAAGCCACCCAAATGGGACCATCATCTTATTGAAGTTCCTTACAATAGTGGACTGAAGGGAAAGGAAGAAAATCAGTTCTAAATTACTGCTTCCATTGCTTTTCTGGGCTGGGCAATCTCTAGGCCGCAGCTGCAGTAAAGAGATTCTGTGGCTTTTCATGCTGAAGACAAAGAATTGTGAATTCTGTTGTCCTCAAAACTGAGGATTCTTTGTACCTTTCCCTTCTTGTGCCTTTAAGACGTCAGTCCAGTTCAACGTTTAGCATAAAATGTAGGCTACAAATGAGAGTATGCTGAAGTAGACTAGCAATCTGTCCTTAAATGCAACGAATTCTGTGTCTCTGTATATCTTAGCACCCTCCCACTGCTTCCAGCTACCATCAGCTACTCTTGCACAGGCAAGCAGAACAAACTGACTTAGTGTTAATTGACAAGTCACATCTCCCCAGGACTTTAACAATCCTCACCCCTTCAAACAATAGTTATAATGAAGGAAAAATATATGCCACAAAAAGGCATGCATTCTTTAAAAGCTGCAGCAGCTTTTATCAGATATAATATCCTGTCCAATAACAGATGATTTTCCAATCTAGTTCCTTACCTGATCTCACTTATGTGCATTTATTATGTATGTGTTTCTATTATTTGCCAGCTTATGTTTTGTCATATATATATATATATGTATAATCTTTTTGTACTTGGAGTTCTCAGAACAGACAAAGAACTAAATCCAGACAAAAAAGGGGGTGGTGGGGGGGAATTAATCAGCCATTGAGTGGAGACAGTCTAAATTACTAGAGTGGTTTCCAATGTAAATAAATGTGATATTCAAGCATTTATGAATGCTGTGGGGGAGACTCTTCTATGACCAGGTGCATTCTGGTAGATTTCCCTCACTTCATCTGTCAGAAGTCACCTATAAACTACAGTAACTTAACTGGATCATAACAAAGTTTAGTCTTAATTATTGTCCTATTGATAGTGGACCATAGGGATGCAAAGGTCTTAGCTCTTACGTCAATTAAGGCTAAATTCCTTTTTATACTTGCTGCAGGAATCCAACAGCTTGCCAAAAGTTTTTTTTTTTTTTAATTAATTTTAATGAATCTTTTGAGAATTTCTACGAGTCTGAACTATTTTACGAGCTTAAAGAAAGCTCAAGGATGTATATTAATTCAGCATTTACAAGTCTTCTTGTCCCAAGTTCTCATACTATGACTCTACCGTCCATTTTCCTCAGAGTTAAAATTAAATCTTAACAAAACGGAATAGCACTGAGGATAATATAAATAACAAGCATGTTCTACTCAAAACCTTAAGAACAACTTTCAAATGAGGTCACTGTGACAAAGCTGATTTTCAATTAAACCTCGCTCCCCCTTCCTTTACAATGGATGTGCACGCAACAATTATAGAGATAATAATTATGTGGAAGAGAGAAGAATATTCATAAAACTAAGCTAGTTTGTCTATGGTTAGTGGAGCAACTGTTCTCTACAAAAGCCTACCCAGAGCAGATGCTTACTTCAGTGAAGCATTACCCCATGTCAGTGGTTCAAACTGCATCACCTATTGGGATCTATGGCCATATAGAGCGCTTCAAGCGCTCAAAGCGTTCCAACACCACTATTTTTGCTGCTGTTATTCTTGATTAAAGATTCACTCTCAACGCTTGCGCAGATACACGATGGAAGAAACCCAAAGCCTGGTTTCCAAACGTTAACTCTGCAAAGCATGTTGGGGTGGGCAGAGAGGCAGAAAGACAGCCGGGATTAGTTATATATCAACGGGTTATAAAAGTGCATTTTCTGCTACTATATGATGCTCCTGTGATACAAATTTAAGGGTGTCCTTGCTGGTTGACCATTTCACATCACTCTAATAACATTAGTTTTACCTAGGTACAGAACTGAAAATATGATACTTTATCTTCCAAAAAAAAAAAAAAAAAAAAAAGATACCCTATAGTAGCAATTCGCAATGCCCCAAGGAATCTCCAATGACAAAAGTTGTAATGAAAAAGAATACACCCCTATCTTCCATAATTAGGAATAAACCTAAGCACATTATGATACTGAAACAAATACATAAAGAACCTCTTACTAAAAAAATGTTCTGAAGTAATATTAAGACAACAAAACCCTGAAAATTTCATGTATACTTAAAAGCCATACTAGTTTAAACCCGTCATCAAAACGAAAAGCAAACAAGCCAACCCCTCCCTCCTCCCAGACCGTACATTCAAGCGTGTTAATCAGATGCTTATAATACGTCTTTGTCACAAATGACTTGCTGTAAAGCAACTGTGATGAAGCTCTGTTAAAGGTGCTAAAATATATATGGTAAGGCAGAGTGGTAACATATTGGCAAACCAAAAGAGACTGCATAGTTATACATTTCATTACAAGTGATTCATTGTGTTTATTCAAGGTTTAAAATAAAAAAGAACAATGTAAAAGAAAAAACAATGTAAAGCCATAAGTGATGTATGGCAATTAAATAAGCTGGGGAGGGGATCATTATACAGGATAATTCAGTGCTTGATCACAGGAGCAGGGGCCATATAAGAAGGAAACATATGACAATCTTAAGCAATGAGCAGGTTATTCAGAGTCCTGGTGTTTCCAACAGCCATACTTGTAGCAAAAATGACATCAGCCCTAACAGGCTGTGGAAGCTAATGAGACAGCCTCATGAGCATTAAATCTTGTCTAATAAGTGAGCTGACAACTCTAGGTACGACACATTCTTCAAGGATAAACTAGCAAATTTACACAGTGTCTGTAATCAGGGGACGAGAGTCTGTGAGGACCAGCGAGCCTAGCAGTAAATAAGAAACAAGATAGTGGCTTGTGGAGAGGATGCCTGCACTTCTTTAGCAAGTAAGAGGCTAGTTAGCCCAAAATTCAGGGGCTAAATAAACTTTGAACTCATCTTTTATGGTGACCATAATCTTCAGAACTTGCTATTGCTCCCATTCTGCTCACCGATACTCATTCGTCCTGCCATGGTGTCCTGCTGAGTGAGTTTTCCCAGAGCACCTTTGAGCATTCTTGACCTTTCAGAATAGTCATAGCGTAACATAGGAGAGG